ACCTTACAGCGACAAAAAAAGGGGAGGGGGAACCAGCATCTGAAGGAAAATTTAATATAGCAAAATACTACACTCAGAAAAAGGGGAGGGTTGAGGCTCCCTGGCCCCACCTTCCAATGTCTAGCACAGAACTAACTTAAGACCTAATTTTTTTTTATTGCATCGTTAAAACACTTTATTACATCAGTAAGCGAGAATTATTCTCATGGTATTTACATGTTGTTTTAAGTCTTGAAGATAGGTGATTTTTTCCATCAACACTGAAAAATCTGCTGGTTGCTAAGGAAATTTCTTTGACCAAGTTTCCATGGTAACCATGACTCAAAATATTTTTCATTTTACATACATTGTTCATAGTTAAAAACAAATCAAGGAGTGGAAAGTCATCAAATTCTGAGAACCCTCATATATCACCCTTTGTCGATTTTTATGTGGACTAGTACTTAAGTACTTCTTTCGGTTGCAACACAAAATAAGAAAAACATAAATCTTAAAATGCTGGTGAAAAAGAAAAACAAAAGCACTTTGTATGAAGCTATCATCATGTACACAGTAAACAGCAAAAGAATTAGCTTACACAATATCACGTTGGTGATTTTTATGTCTGTAAAGTCTCATGAAGATTTTGAAAGCCATCTACGAGAATGCTCGAGTACAAAAAAAACGGTGAACCAAAAAACGAATTCGTTCCGGTGGCTGAAGCGATGGACCTGCTCCAATTTTTTAGCGGAAAAAGATTTGATCCAGTAGAAGGCATAAACCTTTAAAGTTTCCAAAAGATTGCTTTCGTAGTTACTGAGAAAAATAGAAATTAAAGAATTTTCACTTTTCGTCCGTTTCCATGGCAACGGTAAAAATTTTGAAAAAATTGAATGTTGACTGCACACTTAGAGATTCTTATTATAATTTCTGTAAAGTTTCATCAAGATTGTCCAAGCGACCTCTGAGAACATATGTGAGCATAATACCTTTTTTTCTGTGTTGTTTCTATGATAACTGTGTGCGACCAATTCCAGGGGGTTTTTTTTAAATAGAAATCACTTAGACACAAAGCAAGGAATCATCCATTAAAGTTTCAAAGTGATTGCTTGAGCAGTTACTGAGAAAATCGAAGTTAAAGAATTTTCACTTTTCTTCTGTTTCCATGGCAACAATTGGCAATTTGAAAATTTTAAATGCGAATTGTACAACTACAGTTACTGATCATTTCCATAAAGTTTCATGATGAATGTTCAAGGGACCAGAGAGAACACTCCCGGACAAAATTCGTCACTTTTCGTACGTTTCCATGGCAACGGTAGTCAAGTTGAAACAGAATTTTTTTTCCACATATATACCGATGGTCATCATCTTTTATGGAAAGTTCCAACAACAATGCCCCAGCCATCTGCGAGAAATTTCCCGGACAACTTTATCATGCGTACAATAGCAATATGTCGCCCGACTTCGTTCGGGGCGACATAATAAGAAAAAATAGAGTAAAAACAATAATTTCTTCGTTGGGAAACATAAATATCTAGAGGATATTACTGTGCTAAATGAGAAATAAATCCTGACCTATCTTCTTGAATTTTTTTCAATCTATCCAACGTTGTAGTCCCCACTGGTAAAGTCCTGCTAGTGGGAGACACCAGGTTGTAGCGGTTTATTTCCAACACATTACTGTCTCCTCCATTAACCCGAGGTCCATGTATAGCATGTATAGTGCTGCCCAAAATCAACTGCTAAAGAAAATAAAGGTAAAGTTTTAGAATCGATTCAACACTCGATGCTGACATAAGACAGTAATATTAGTACGTTTCACACCTCGAACAAAGGGTTTTTGCTGCTACCAAATCACTTAGTACACTGCAAGTCCAAGCTTCATGGTTGGATGACTATGCCATTGTGTGCATGTTATTAAACTTATCATTATCAATGATAGGTTACAGGGCAAGGTCACTAAACAATGAAAGTTGGACCTGCTGTGCTAGACAGTCAATAAAACCTACAGATTTAATAAAGTGAAAAAATCTTTTTTCTTCCCTTGTCTTTCTTTCTGAATTAACCAACATTAGCCAAAATTAAAACATTAAATATTTAAATTAAAAAAAAAATCAAAATTAAAACAGAATTTTAAGAAAGGTTTAGTAATTGTTTTAATATATAGGATAAACCAAGAAATATATCTCATCAAAAAGTACCCCCCAAAAACTTTACTTACCACCTTGTCTTCGATTATAATAAACAGATTTAGAGGACACAGGAGAAGTCAAAATAGGATTTTTTTTTTACAATGTTCAAATACACAGGGACAGTCCTATATTGCTCAAGTAGTGTGTAAACTTTCCCTGTAATTGTTATAAGCCGAGACAATCAAATCGTATACAGATTTTCTTCCTTTTTTCTGTTTTCGTTTTCTGTGGAAATCTGTGCTTTTCAAGAACAATTTAACCATTTTACCTCTAAAGACAAGTTTTCACCAATGCCCACAAGACTCCCATTAAAACTGACATGAATATCTTCATACAGAGATTTTGAATCTATAGAAATGAACCTTATTGTGTTTGAAAACTATACCTGACATATTGCAGACAGGTAGATATAACCCTTGAGGGTATAATTATCACATCTGGGCCTGTACAAAATGGCAAGAGTCAGGATCAAATCATCGTTTTCTTGATTGAATAACAAGAAATACACAAAGATTTGTAATGAAAGAGATAGGGACACAAAGGGTTTTTTCTCGTGTGAAATATGTACTAAGTACATGTATGTTGTTAAACTTTTCCCTTGCCATTCGATTTGGTCCCTCGCTTCGCTCGGCACCAAATCTCATGGTGCTCGGGAAAAGTTTACCAACATATACTTGACTTTTGCGAGAAGCACCGACTTTTACAGTTGACGGCTTACTTTGACATTTAAACCTGCGTTAATTATGAACGGAGGTACGGAATTGACAATAGATAACAAAACTATATATAGGATATAGTTACGGTATTAGGGGTACTAACATTATTTACCAACACAAGAGGTGATTGGAGGTAGAATAAAATTACTTAAAATACCTCATTCATGAGATATAGTATCTCCTTTTATTTTCATTTCTAAAAGAATGAAATAAAGAAGAAAAAACATTTCGGAGGGAAAACTTAGCAGGAGATGGTCAAGGTGGGAAGGGAGAGGGCTGAGGTTAGGTTTGTTGAGGGTAGAGTGGTTGCCTATCGCTTCCTAGACAACGTAATATGGACTTTAAAATAGCCCGTTATTATTGTTTTATTAACTGTTAAGCTAAATATTATATCACAAAAGAGCTCCCGTATATTTTCCTGGTCTAAAAGTAAGCCGTCGATTGAAAAAGTCAGCGCTTCTTGCAAAGGTCCAATACCCGCACAGAAGTGTTTGCCTCTCAATTTGTTCTCCTACCTGGGTAATGAAGAAGCCATAATAGTTATTCTAATATCTAATAAAATATGCATTCAATTGAGCAAAAATGCACAGGATAGCATGTGGCCAAAAGGCCTTCTGTGTTTTTATTCAGTAATAAATAATAATGTTTAATATATAATAATATATATTAGTGATAAACAACATTTATATGAAATATTTTGAGCTTAGCTTGCTTTCATCCTTAAGATTATGTCATACGAGTTGGACAAAACCACATAATAATACATAAAGTTTTTAAGACCGCGGTCAAGTTAAGTTTATAAAATTTTAGCAACGTTTCTTTTTAGTGAAATATTACTAAAATCTGCGAATTCCTTAGTTTAACAATAATACATGAGGACGAAGACAATATATAATTATATGAACACGAAACCAGGGGCCTGTTTTACAAAAAAACTCACGACTAAGATTTAAAACTTAAGTTCCTTGTAAAACTTTGCAAAATTAATCATTCTGTTTAAAATTGCTAGTTCAAAAATATCTTTCTACATTACTTTTAAAAAGATTAAAATCATTTTTAATTTAATGTAAATTAGAAAGTCATTAGTGGAATTCAATTTTGGTCTTTTGTAAAACGGAGCCCAGATCTTTAAATTATTCAATGAAAAACATTTCTAAAGAACCAACCAATATTGTTAAACATAATGATCTCTTTTTACGCTACTCTTATCCTATTGAAGTAAGTGCGTGATATTCTAGCCTAATTTTTCTCTTCAATTTTTGTACCAATGCAAAAGTTGTATGGAGATTTAAATGGTTTTTTTTTTTTTTTAAAGCAGAAAGTAAATTGCACTATACCTCAGGATAAACATAGTCATTAGGAAAGACTGATTTTATAATCAGGACTGGTAAGATATTGTGAAAGAGATTAATTTACATTTATCATGTAATTTAATATTGTAAACGAAAGAGACAAAACTCCTGATTATTAATTTATTTATTAACAAATCTAATGTAGTAAACACAATTTGTACAAATATTTCATATTTTGTTCACGCATCGATGTCAAAGTTATAATTGTTTTATGTTACTTTGACCTCTACAGGCGCGGATCCAGGAATATTTTCCAGGGGAGGGGGGGGGGATGTTCCACCCGAGTCAAAAAAAATTCCAACCCAAAAATTTCTTGAAAAAAAAAACGTAATTCCCTTCCCAAACGTATTTAAAACCCAGAAATTTTGTTGACAAGCAAAAAAAAAAAAAAAAAGTAAATTCCCTTTCCTAACGTGAATTACACCTATTTTGTGGTGGCGATTGTGGATTCCAAGTTTTCTAGGGGGCTCCAAAGTCATTTTTTATTTGCTTCAGTATATACGTTTAGTAACTGTGTAAATTCCAGGAGGGGGGCGGACCCTCCTGACCCCCCTCTAGATCCGCGCATGCTCTATGTTGTTATATAGCAACCAAAGAGATACTAATAAACTGAAACTGAACCAGCTAGATCACATGAAAGGTAATGAGCAGAGTAAGTCTCTTTTAAATATAGAGTAGTGTACTGTACACTATACAAATTTGTAAGTGCATTACGTACACACTGATTGTAAATATTTTCTAGTTTTTGATCAACAATAATGGACCAAGTACCGGATACAGCCCAGCATTTTATCGAGTGTGACACGGAATCCTGTAGGAACTTCTCCGAGTTTTACTGCAATACCTGTCATCAACGAATCTGTGACCAATGCAAACAGCGCCATCTAGAGCAGAACAATGGACATGAAATTGTCCTCTATCAAGAGAGAAAAAGAAAAGTTCCGTCAGAGAAATGCAGGATGCATCCCACCAAAAACATAGATGTCTACTGTGATGATTGCCAGGACTCTGCTTGTTCTGTCTGCTTTTCGCGAGATCACGGTAATCATCTAAACACCGACCTTGAAACCATCTACAATGAAATCTTACAACAATGTCAGGAGGAAATAACAGACATTTGGAAAACAGTCATTCCTAAAGCTGAAGATAATGTCAAATCACTTGAAGAGAAAAGAGAAAATGTTAAGAAAGAAATTACCAAGTTTAGAGTTTCCATGAAGAAGAGAGCAGATGAACTGAAAGAGACAGTTGACAGTGTACTAACTAATAATAATCAAAAACTGGATGAGATTGAGAACTCTGTCATAAATGATAAGGTCGAACAACAGAAGAAAACAGAGGACTACATAAATTACCTAAAAAAAATTGTTTCAGACCTCGAGCGTAAAATGTCATCAATAAAACTTTCTGAAGTTATGAAATTCTATAAAGATATTTCATTAGCTACCCTGAAGAGGCCTAACAAAGCTAAACCCAAACTGCCAATTTTCACACTACGTACACTAAACAAAGAAGAAATAGCCAAACTACTTGGTGAAATTGAACTAGAAAGGTTTGAGCTTGCTTCTGTCACAGAAGTAAATGAAGTAAGTAACCAGGGACATATACCTCACCATTTGTCTCCCTTGCCCCCCGATAAATTCTGGGCCCTCGATAACTCGGGAAATCTCATTCAGTCTGACATGGAAGGAAACATCTTATCAAAGGAAATATCCACCAGTATGTGGTATATCCGAGGTAACCACACAGTCACAACAGATGGAGAACTTCTTTACACAAATAACAAGAAATACACTGTATACAAAGTAGCTAGTGACATGTCCATCAACAAACTTATCAAGACAGGGAGTTTGGAACCTGGAGCCATCTTCTCTTCTCCTTTCAATGGACACATACTGGTCGGGATGGGGACAAAGTCAGACAGCAAAGTAACCATATACAACAGAGAAGGAAGGAAGCTTCAGGACATAAAGAGGGATGATGAAGGACAAACTCTGTACGAAGGCATAGACTACCTCACAGAGAACATTAATGGTGACATTTGTGCATCAGACAACTATGCCAAAAAGGTTGTTGTGGTGACCGCATCGGGAGAATATCGGTTTTCTTACTCTGGTCATGAGTCTCAGTCTGGATTCCGTCCCTATGGAATCTGTACAGATGTTCTGGGACACATTTTGGTGGGTAATGGCTATATTTCACATAGTGAGAATTGTTCTGGTGTCCACTTGCTGGACATTAATGGCCGGTTCCTGTCTTTCCTACTCACACTGGATCAATGTCCTCCACGTCCCTGTGCTCTCTGTATTGATGATCAACACAATCTCTGGGTCGGGGGAAGGAGAAGTTCTACTGTCTCTGTGTACAAGTACTTGCAGAAGACAAAATAATAATATTTTATGTACTGCATTACTCATGATTGATCAATTTGTGTCACAACCCCTGTCAGTGTTAACTCAGAATAAACAAACATAGGTAATCAGAGGTTACAGAGCTCACCTCAACGAATGTTGTCCTTAAGTAAGGCAAAGTCCCAAACTAATAATCTACGCGGGTATGTTAAGGCTACACCCAGAGATATACTACTTGCCTCTACAATATGACGTCATAGTAAGCTGCATGACGTGAAGTTTAGAAATAATGATTTCTTAATATCTATATTTAAAGTTTAATTTCAGGTCAAAGAAATGAATGGAATCATTCAAAAACATAATGTAAACAAAATCATGTCATTTTTGGGTGATATAAACAGCTAAGTATTTATCACGGGGGTTAAATACCAAACCCATGACGTCATAACTATTGATCAAATATTTGCCGAGTGAAAATTAAATGAGACGAGAATTCATGTAAACAAATATGTAAAATGGGAGTTTTAAAGCATATACCGTGAATATCATGTGTGATTCATAAGGAATTAAAGATTACGAATCAGGTACGCTGATATATTCTAATCATGTTTTCTTATAATGAACACAGTCAGTGCTTAAGATCCCGATCAGCCTTTCCTCTGTCGTTCTATAACAACAAAGTTGCAAAAGTTCAACACTACGCCGCATACTTTGAGACATAATTTTTGTTTGTATCGAAATCTTGTATTCTATAGTACTTGGAAAGTGCTGCTAGAATCGTGTGATTAACATGAAATGATGACATTTCCTTGATCGTTTGTACAAAAATGTAATAATTTTGGTAAGGTTTCATGCGAAACTTTGGAATAATTTTTTTCTGTGTTGGGAGAGTAGGATTCTAGAAGCACTTTTCATGACCCAGTGATGTTTTTACATTATTAATTTCACAAAAAGAATTGAATTTTCCCCGGGGTAGTGTTGAACTTTTCACTTTTTTATTAAGGCAATTTTTCTATTTATAGACGTCACGTGATGACGTCGTAGTGGAGTGCTTCTTTTAGCCTAAAACTCAATGACGTCTACACAATGGATAATTATAGTAAATGTTTTATCTATGGCTTTTCCGATTTATCAATGTTACATTTTACGAAAAAAGTCTAAATTCGCCGAAATATGATCTGGGTACTGCCTTAACATACCTGCGTAGTAGTTTGCATTCCTAAATGTAACATTTATGCAATTTTAGTACGATAGGGCTTGCAGTAACTTGGGAATGGACTTACCTAAAAACTTTAAACTAATCACTCATCCAGAAAATGTATGTCATGTTCAGCATCTGAAGCAAGTTTGGGAGTATTCATTCTGTTATGCATCATCCATGCAAGTTTGGTTCAGATAGCCCTTTTAGTTTACTTTAACATGGTCACTCTGGAAAATATAGGTCAGATACAGCATCCAGAGCAAGCTTGTTAGTGTGTATCTATAGATGTATCATCCATGCAAGTTTGGTAAACATAGGGCTAAAAGTGACTTAAAATTAGACCTGCTCCAAAAACTTTAACCTGGTCACTTATCTAGAAAATGTAGGTCAGATCCAACATCCGAAGCAAGTCCAGTAGTGTGCATCCTTAGAGTATCATCCATGCAAGTTTTGTCAATATAGGGCTTACAGTTACTTTGAAATGAGACCTGCTCCAAAATTTTAACCTGCTCCAAAAACATTAACCAGGTCATTCTTCAGCTGAAATAACAGCTTCTGAAACTTTGACTGGTACAATGAAATATACTAGAAGCATCCTCCATGCATCTCTGTTTAATAAAAGGCATAGAAGTACTTGAAAAGAATTCTGCTCCAAAAACTTTAACCTGGGACGCCGACACCGACGGTATTACATAAGCTCCCCTAACTTCTTTGAGGTGCGCTAAAAACGTTTGACAAATAAATTTCTGTTTTTGAAACTGTTTTCTCTGGCTTGTCATACAATATATATATATATATATATATATATATATATATATATATATATATATATATATATATATATATATATATATATATATATATATATATATATATATATATATATATATATATATATATATATATATATATATATATATATATATATATATATATATATATATATATATATATATATATATATATATATATATATATATATATATATAGTTATACAAGAGGCGTGTTATGGGATATTTGGCGTATCTCAGACTCACGTTGTGGGATCCTTAGGTGGTTTATGGGTCATCTATATTTTGACCCATAAACCATGTAGTCTAAACTTCACAGAAATGTTGGAAATGCTATTCCTACCATAAAAAACAAAAAAAATAATTTTTTTGACCTATAAGGATATATAGAAAAATGTCCCACAACGCAAAATCTATTTTTAGAACAGTCGGTCTAAGTCCCTCGCTTTCAACATTTTGTGTATCTATAAATGTCAATTGGAATATCCCACAATACGGTGTAGCGATACACGCAATGCATTGTGGGAGGACTGGGAGGACAATGGCGGCGTTTAGCAGGGGTAAAGAGCTGTAACTGTAAGACAGTAAGTATCTTGTTATTATTAGTAGAGCAATTGAATATAACACATATTTATGATAATTAGACGAGAGAACGAGGAACTTTCGAACTTGTTTGATCGTAAGCACAGTTTAAGGTTGGTCGCGGGTTTACTGCATAAAAATTTTTACGGGAAAACATGTTCAGAAAAATTTGATATAATGTTCCTTAGAATTTGCGGCATATTATCTGAGATTTTTATTAAATTTGCCTACGTGAAGATAAGTAGCTTATATTCTCTAGTATTATGAAATTCATAATTCTGCCCACAAAGTCAGAATGAACGGTATATTGATATAAACATTCTTCGTGCATTAGAATTAATATGCAGTAACTAGTGATGGGAATCGGTAAGAATTTCATAATCGATGATCGGGCTACTGTAACTAACTAATTATCAATTATAATCGGACATTTACAAAGTCTGTCAATTTAGTTTATCAAATGGTAAGAATGGATGAATAACTACTTTGTGTGGTGGTCCAACTGTAGTTAGAATAATCTAACTGTGTTTCGGGACAAGCCCTAGTCCTTAGGACAATATTTTAACGATAGAACGTTCGATCTAGTCCAGCTGGTTCTTCATTCATTTTGTAGAATCCAAAGTATGTCCATACCCGGGAATTAGCGTTGTTACCCGGGTATGAATACAATGTCTGTTCGTCTACGCCATTATGATACACAAATAAGTTAATAGAAAAGTCGCGGCTGGAATATTTGGCTTGAAAACTATTACGCTTGTAAAATAAAATAAATAACCCGATTAATCGGAATAGAAATTTTGTAATCGAGCGCTTGGATTATGCCAACACTCGATTGATTTTCGATTATAATCGATGATTGGAACACCACTAGCAGTAACACTGCGATAGATAATATAATACAAGTAATGTTAGGATGTTCAAGTTCATTATTAAGAATTCAAGTATAACATGGTAAAGGAAAAAAAAAAGTCCACCATTGAAGGGGGGTGGGGGTTATCGGTAATGTTCTTTTTAAGTCAATCGCAATTCAGTATATAGTCAGAACTCTCAAACATTTGTTCTTTCTTGTTTTTTTTTCTTTATTAATTTTTCATCATTAAAAAATGTAAAATACTTGCATTCAGCTTAAACACAGATAGCTTAATTTTGTTATAGAAAAAATTGTACTTGAAGTCTTGATACTTGTATTTCGTAATACATGTACAGTATATTAATATCTGTTTAGAGTGCCATAAAGGTCCGATATGCTGGGTGTTTGTATGAATTCATTTTAAGGGGATGAAGGACACATGGTCACATGACTGTTTAACTACATCATAGTCTCCGTTTATATAAGTGCAATATGTGTAAAGCATTAATTCTTGTATAATTTTTTGACAATTTTTTAACTTTAATTACCATCTTATATAAAAAAATTAAAAAGTTTTTACGTTCTTGTAAACATTAACAAATTATGAAAAAGATTGATCCACTCCTCTGTTTCCCTAAACTGCATGTCCAACAAGTCGGTGACGTCATACATGATCTGTTAGTACAGCAAGATCATACTCGGTGAACACAGGGGTGGTATTACAATGTATTATGTAAAAACAGTTCATAATCAGTATATGATGAAATATTTTGAGAAATGGGGAACACAAAAATTATTTTTCCAAGGCTGATGACGGAAATCATATGTAGGTATATCTTATTTCGCTTATTTAGCTTACCTGTGACGTCATAGTTGGTTTTTCTCGTAGTCGAGAAATGTAACATGACACATTTTTGTCATGCTTATGTCCTCTTTAACGATGTCCTGTGAAATAATGAGGTCAGCTTCATCATTTGAAATTTTTACAGTTATTCAATAATTTGAAGGATTTGCATTTCAACGTAAATTAAAAAATATTGAATGATAGAATTTTTTGTAAATTACGTTTTTTATTGTTTAAGTTGTCTTAAAAAGTGCGTAATTTTCCCTATCCAGATGCAGTGTGATAGACAAAACTTGCTTTTTTGAATTTTAAATCCTAGTTATACTCTGAAATAATTTAAAAGATACATGTCCACTTTGATATTTTTTACATATGCTTAAAAAATCCCATTAAGGACAGAGTAATTAGCCCGGAAACATGGAGAATTAAAACTCCACTTAGATACAGTAGGGCATAGTAATTGTCAATCAATATCTCCAAAATAAGGTAAGAAACCTAATGATATAACTGCTTTAAGATATGTGGGACATACTTAATTAGAAATATACAAAATATGAAAAAAATTGAATGACAAGTATTTTTTCAGCTCAAGGTCCTTCTCCTCCTTATTATAACATGTTTAACATGCATTTCACTGATAAATCAATTCCTTGCTAGCCTGCTTATAAATAGAGAACAACTTTATTAGATTCAAATACAAAATATTTTTTTAAAAAAGAGGAAAATGCATTTAATTAAATTTCATCCATTTTTAGCTCACCTGAGCTGAAAGCTCAAGTGAGCTTTTCTGATCACCCGTTGTCCGTCGTCCGTCCGTCTGTCCGTCCGTCTGTAAACTTTTCACATTTTCAACTTCTTCTCAAGAACCACTGGGCCAATTTTAACCAAACTTGGTACAAAGTATCCCTGGGTGAAGGGGAGTTTAAATTGTAAAGATAAAGGGCCAAGTCCCCTTACAAGGGGAGATAATCAAGAAAAGACAAAAATAGGGTGGGGTCATAAAAAAATCCTCTTCTCAAGAACCACTGAGCCAGAAAAGCTGAAACTTATGTGGAAGCATCCTGGGGTAGTGTAGATTCTAAATTGTTAAAATCATGACCCCCGGGGGTAGGGCGGGGCCACAATAGGGAATCCAAGTTTTACATTGAAATATATAGGAAAAATCTTGAAAAATCTTCTTCTCAAGAACCACTGGGCCAGAAAAGCTGAAACTTATGTGGAAGCATCCTTGGGTAGTGTAGATTCTAAATTGTTAAAATCATGACCCCCAGGGGTAGGGCGGGGCCACAATAGGGAAGCCAAGTTTTACATTGAAATATATAGGAAAAATCTTGAAAAATCTTCTTCTCAAGAACCACTGGACCAGAAAAGCTGTGGCGGGGCCACAATAGGTATTACAAGGAGGGGGGGGGGGGGATCTGGTAAAGAACAGCATAGCCAAAGTTACTCAGGTGAGCGATGTGGCCCATGGGCCTCTTGTTAGTGTTTAGGGTTGATGTTATCCTTAAAATAACAAATGTGTTGTTTTTTTTTTTTGGCTGTGATGAGCAAACATGGTGCATTACACACCTCCTCTTCATTGCAAATTTATGTGCATACATACAGCCTTTCAATTTTTCAATGTAGCAATTTACTGAAACCGTTACTTTCATTTTGCATGCCATATTTTTAACACTGAATCAATTTGATTGACCTTTAGTAGTTTAGTATCATTTTCAATATAAAATGAATTCCATGCATTTTGCATCACATTTATTATGTTTTATAAGTTTGTTCTTATACATTACACATATAATCAGAGCAGAATTAACTTATAATCCTCTAGGTTCATACATACAGTGTGCGAAACTAATCTGGAGAATGAAATAGCCCATTTGACTATCTCATTTGAAATTGGGATAGACCGTAGACAAATAGGAATGTCCAAAGAAAGTAAATTAGGAAAAAATGTGCTCTTGTTATTGTTAAATTTTTTAAAATTTATTCATTTATATTCTTATTGAAGTATCTGCTATATATTTTCATGATTATCTAGTGAAAATTAAATATAATCATGCAGTGTTCATGCATTTCACACCCCAAAAAACTGTGCAATTATTCAGACTCATCGTATATAAACTTCACTCTGCAGACCAGCTAATATTTGTGAAAGACACAAACTCTAATTTCATCTTTATAGCTTTCCCTTTTCTCGGATTCATTATTTTATTTTCAATTTTTTTGGTTGTCTTTTTGTTGATTCAATTTGTGTTTTAATGCAGTGCTTCCTGCAGTCAGGATTTGTAGCATGCCTGATATACATAAACAGCAAGCATTGGGTAAAAATTGTACACCACTAATTCATCGAAAGATGCACAATGTTATAAATTAATAAGTAAAGAGATTTAACAACAGTTCTTTTACCATGTAAAATATAAAAGTATTAAATTATTTTTTCACAATTATTTTGTTTATAATTATGTGTTAAAAATACGAAATGGTCATTCTTGTTCAATCTCATTTTACCCATGGCCAAAATTGGGATAGAGAATTCGGTCTGTTTCAATTCGGATCGGGGTAGACCAATTCAATTTGAGATAGATTCGGACCATCGGACAGGCGTTAATACTTTCGCACACTGTACATACGCCTCGTATGGACTAGATTCTATTGCTAATTAAAGTAATTTTCAGAGAAATAAGCAGGAAGCAATGCAACATCGCCTTTGTGATGTAACTCACGTCATAATCAAATGTGCACAAAACAACCACTCGAATTGTCTAAATTGTGTACCGAAATTGATGACAAAAGCAAACCCGCGACCTACCTTACAAATGACGGATGCTTCAGCCTGAAGCAGCTGTGAAGCATAATTACCAGCTTGTCAACCTCAAAAAAGCACATGCACCGATTCTGAATGCAGATGGCATACTTGGGGTGTTAGTTTTATGTTTATAGTTTCCATACATGTTTAGGCCAAACAAAAAAATATGTTTGTTTACTGTTACATGCCGAAATAAAATAGGGCCGATAGGTAGGATTTTTTTTATTTTATTGAATTTTTTTATACACAAATTCAAATGAATTGGTTGAAAAACAAGACAGTTTTACCATTGTGTGGTGCTTTACTTTTGTTTGGGCTTGCCATATGGCAATATCTTTCTTGCCAACTGCCTTACAGCTACCACACAATGAAAAAAACTGTCTTGTATTTCTTCTTTAATTCCATGTTGCACTAACTATTTCTAGTACTTTCGATTTCAAACGCTTGACTGATTAAGATGCATGTAAAAGTTAAACCGACGAATGAGTGACTTCTGGATTTTTAC